ATAAAGCCAGATGCTTCTGATCCACACAAATATTAATATTTCCTTTTTCTTATGGTAACTTGAGGGTTCCCCTCTCCTTTTAAAAATAGTTTCTTTATTTCCCTTTTTATACACATCAAGGTCTGTGATAACTCACGGAATACCAGGTGTTTCATGAACATAACTTTGTCATTGAAATGGTTTCCAAAGACCACTTCTTTTACAGCTTCCAGATCATGGATGCTGTGCTTCAGAGTCAGGCAGCATTACCTTTTGCTAACCTAAAGTTGGGTCTGGGAATACTGAGAAAGGTGATCAAAGAACTAGTCAGGTCTCAGTACCAACCACTCACATTGGAAGCATTTTCTCATTTGTCCCCATTTCCCTTACCCCTCTAAGTCCCATTATTTTGTTTTGGGTTCTGTTGAGTTCAGTCCTCAAGGGCCACATGGAAATACAGTTAGCAGAGTTATATTTACACAGTGAAAACAATTTCATTCTGTTCAACAAACCCACCAAACTCCCCCAAAGACGAACTTGTCCATGCATGGAAGGTCTTTGGTTTCCTATGATTCAAATACCAAAGTTGGAATTAAACTAACACAAATTATTATCAGATTATCAGGATTTGGCTGACTCCCTGCCCTTTAACATGTGGCAGATGAATTCTTCTGAACTGGCTTGCTCCCAAGTGCTGACACTGTCTTTAAGGGTATTATGGAAGGGATTGAAGTGTTAAGGATCCCTGAAGAAGAATTTGTATGTTTTTTTAAGCATGTAGCTACCTGAATATTTATAGTCTATCAGTTGGCCCCAAAGAATAGAAATAGTTTTCATATATTTAATTTTTATTTTATGTCATGGCTTTTATTCCACCAAAGATCTTAAGTTATACAATTGTTAACTGCCCATAAGACATGTAGACCATAACGTGACATGTAGAAGACCGCCTCACATAGTAGTAAATGTGAAAATTCTAACAATCTATTTTATTTTCTTGTGAACTTTCTGAATCTAAGATAGTAGTGGAATATTCTTATTTTACCTAAGTAAATAATTTCATTGCCTATTCGTAGTGACACAAAGGGTTCCTATTTAAGTGTAATTTAGTTTATGAGCTAAAATGTGGTTTAACTCATTTTAAAAGTTGGGCAGCTGATATATGAAGAGCCATTAAGCCATGTGTTCTCATTTTGTATATGCTTGAGAATTTCCAGCAAGTAAACCTTAAAAATATAATGCAAACTTATATTGTTCAAAATTACTTTTAAGCTCAATTATTTCAAGGGGAATATCAGGACTTTATTCAAAGATTTCCTTGGTTGCAAAGACAAATTGTCTATATGCTTTAAAATTCTTTACAAGTTTCAAATTTTCTACCAAGTGTGAAAATGCCTTGTGACTCAAAGAGTCAACAATTTTTTATTTTTTGCAGCATGCACAAGCATGAAAGGTTAACTGATGGTTCATATAATTCATTTTCTGGGCTCATAGCAGACTTAAAACTGGTCTGGACAGAGTGGTACCTAGATTTATTTTATTTTATTTTGCACAGAAAACTACATACAACTTGTGTATTATTATAAATACAAATATTTCTTATTCTGTTTTTGCAAATCTGCTTCCATAGGGGTGGGATGAGACAAGGACAGGAGGAGAGAAGATTACCATTAGGAGGAAGAGAAATCTTTACTTCACTATGAAATAACCTGAGAAGACACTGACTGGGACATTTTCATTATTTCCATAATTCTACCTGTTTTGGTAAACTCAGGAGAATGATCCATTCAGAGTTCTTTCTGTAGCTGTAGTATTTAACCAATTCGGAAGCTACAAGATCAGATAAAATGTAAAGGAAATTAAATACGTATTTAAAACACAAATGAATTAAAAACATACACTTTCCAAAGCCTCCGTTGTTGTTCCAAAATTCCAGGTCAATTTCAGTTTGGATTAAATTAATTTAAATATTTTGACAAATATATAACAATATGTAAATATTACACTCAGTGGCTGTAAGTAAGGACCAACATTTGCACGGAACAGTAATAAAAGGAGAGAGACAAAGTAGAAAACCTTCATAGGTGAAGCTCTTATTCCTTCTTATATTCCAGAAGGGGCTTTCTTCATGTTCTCTGACTTTCTGAACTATATAGTCTCTATCAGCAATATCAGCCTTTTAGGTGGTTGGTGAGGATAACTCAAGGACTACGATAGGCTTGAGGGAAAGAGTTAAAAAGAGGATGCTGCGTGTGTGCCCAATCAGTCATGTCCAACTTTTTATAACCCCATGGGCGGTAGCCCACCAGGCTCCTCTGTCCAAGGAATTCTCCAGGCAAGAATACTGAAGTAGGTAGCCATTCCTTTCTTCAGAGATCTTCCTGACTCAAGGATCAAACCCAGGCTTCCTGCATAGAAGCAGGATTCTTTTTTTTTTTCAATTTTTAAAAATATTTTATTTTACATTTTAAATTAGAGGATAGTTACTTCACAATATTGTGATGGTTTCTGCCCCACATCACCATGAAGCAGCATTAGGGAACATACGTCCCCTCCCTCTTGAAGCCCCCTCCTACTTCCCTCCCCATTCCGCCCTTCTAGGTTGTCACAGAGCACTGGTTTTATGTTCCCTGTGTCATAATCGAACTCCCACTGGCTGTTTTACATATGGTAGTGTATATGTTTCAATGCTATTCTCTCATATCATCCTACTCTCTCCTTTCTCCACTGTACCATCTGAGTGATCAGGGAAGCCCCCAAAGAGGATAATAGCTGGCATTATTTTTTTTCCCCTGAAAACAGGATTGATTACAATGTTTTTTTTTTTTTACAATGGATTTATAACATGTTAAGCAAAGATGCTATCAAAACAAGTGACTGTAATTTTTACTGTACTGTCAAAAATTATGTGCTGCTTTGGATATTAATTCAAAAGGAGAAGTATGTACTAACATCCCAAAATTGTTTGTTTCTCAAACTGTTAATTTTTTCCCATTAAAAACTTCACCATTACAAATATAGGCGATTCATAAATTCACAGCAATGAAACAGTAAAGACCCTTCAAGATCATTTTAGACAAGAAGGTTATGGCTGGCCCGTAGGTCTCTTTCAAGTTCATGGTTGACCCAGACTCCAACTTCACAGCGTTTCTCTCCTCAGAATTCCAATATCAGACTGTTTCCATTGCACTGTCATAAGAATGTCAATCCTGACAACCCACATGCAAAGTGACATTATTTGCAAGAGGTGACACAGTGGTTAGACATACCAGTAAAAACAACACTATTGCTTTGAGAGGCAATCTCACGGATAACTTAAGAAGCCAGGTGCCATAGTTGTGGCGACAGACACGACTTAGAAAATGTTCAGTCCAATTCAGTTCAGTTGCTCAGTCGTGTCTGACTCTTTGCAACCCCATGAATTGCAGCACGCCAGGCTTCCCTGTCCATCATCAACTCCCAGAGTTTACTCAAACTCAAGTTCATCGAATCGGTGATGCCATCCAGCCATCTCATCCTCTGCTATCCCCTTCTCCGCCTGCCCCCAATCCCTCCCAGCATCAGGGTCTTTTCCAATGAGTCAACTCTTCACATGAGGTGGCCAAAGTATTGGAGTTTCAGCTTCAACATCAGTCCTTCCAATGAATACCCAGGACTGATCTCCTTTAGGATGGACTGGTTGGATCTCCTTGCAGTCCAAGGGACTCTCAAGAGTCTTCTCCAACATAACAGTTCAAAAGCATCAATTCTTCGGTGCTCAGCTTTCTTCACAGTCCAACTCTCACATCCTTATATGACCACTGGAAAAACCATAGCCTTGACCAGATGGACCTTTGTTGGCAAAGTAATGTCTCTGCTTTTTAATATGCTATCTAGGTTGGTCATAACTTTCCTTCCAAGGAGTAAGTGTCTTAATTTCATGGCTGCAATCACCATCTGCAGTGATTTTGGAGCCCCCAAAAATAAAGTCTGACACTGTTTCCACTGTTTCCCCATCTATTTGCCATGAAGTGATGGGACCGGATGCTGGGATCCTAGTTTTCTGAATGTTGAGCTTTAAGCCAACTTTTTCACCCTCCTCTTTCACTTTCATCAAGAGGCTCTTTAGTTCCTCTTCACTTTCTGCCATAAGGGTGGTGTCATCTGCATATCTGAGGTTATTGATATTTCTCCTGACAATCTAGGGTACCTGAAATGCTGCCACGACAATACTGGCCCTCATCACAGGAGAGTCCAGCATCAGAAATTCAAGAAGGTTTTCCTTCTCCTTCCAGACTCCAACTCTGACAGAAACACAGTACAGCCACCTGCACACCATTAGAAGGATGGAAACTTTTTCTAAAACATGTAAATATTTATTAAACACATACTTGTATTATTCGTCTACTGCTCATAGTTTATCTACTTTATTCAGGCCCTTTTCTAAGATTGCACATTCATTTTCTAACCTTGTTTGTGGGATATCAGATCAGGAAAGAGGAGAGTTTGTTCCTTTCAAATTATTTCTAATATATTTCAAATACATTACATAATTTAAGTCCTCATCCCAAAGGGATGCTGCATGACTATTACTGAACACATCCTGATCCCTCAGCCAAATGGATGAATTCAACAGTACTTTTTTGGTAATGTTCCATAAGAGCATGATGTTTTGTCTAGTTTGCTCCCTGCTATATTTTAAATGCCTACAACAATGCCTTGGAGAAGGAAATGGCAATCCACTGCAGTATTCTTGCCGGGAGAATCCAGTGAATAGAGGAGCCTGGCAAACTACAGTCCATGATGTCACAAAGAGTCAGACATGACTGAGTGACTATCACTCACTCACTCACAACAGTACCTAGTATATAGTATGTCCTCAACAAACAGTTAGTGAATAAAAGAATAAATTTTTTTTTTAATTTTACAGTACTAGACATCAGGGACTATACCTGTCTAGAAAACACTATCAACTATAAAACTCAGCAAAAATAAGACCAGGAGCTGACACAGACCATGAACTCCTTATTGCCAAATTCAGACTTAAATTGAAGAAAGTAAGGAAAACCACTAGACTGTTCAGGTATGACCTAAATCAAAACCTTTATGATTATACAGTGGAAGTGACAAATAGATTCTAGGGATTAGATCTGATAGACAGAGTACCTGAAGAACTATGGACAAAAGTTCCTGACATTGTACAGGAGACAGGGATCAAGACCATTCCCAAGGAAAAGAAATGCAAAAAGGCAAAATGGTTGTCTGAGGAGGGCTTACAAATAGCTGAGAATAGAAGGGAAGTGAAAGGCAAAAGAGGAAAGGAAAGATATACCTATTTGAAAGCAGAGTTCCAAAGAATAGCAAGGATAGATAAGAAAGCCTTCCTCAGTGAGCAATGCAAAGAAATAGAGGATAACAATAGAATGGGACAGTCTAGAGATCTCTTCAAGAAAATTAGAGATACCAAGGGAACACTTCATGCAAAAATGGGCATAATAAAGGACAGAAATGGTATGGACCTAGGAGAAGCAGAAGATATTAAAAAGAGGTGGCAAGAATATGCAGAAGAACTATACAAAAATGATCTTCACTACCCAGATAATCAAGATGGTGTGATCACTCACCTAGAGTCAGATATCCTGGAATGAGAAGTTAAGTGGGCCTTAGGAAGCATCACTATGAACATAGCTAGTGGAGATGATGGAAAGTCAATTGAGCTATTTCAAATTCAAAATATGATGCCATGAAAGTGCTGCACTCAATATGTCAGCAAATTTGGAAAACTCATCAGTGGCCACAGGACTGGAAAAGGTCAGTTTTCATTCCAATCCCAAATTTTTTGGCAATGCCAAAGAATGCTCAAACTACGGCAAAATTGTACTCATTTCACACACTAGTAAAGTAATGTTCAAAATTCTCCAAGCCAGACTTCAACAGTATGTGAACCGTGAACTTCCAGATATTCAAGCTGGATTTAGAAAAGGCAGAGGAACCAGAGTTCAAATTGCCAACATCTGTTGGATCATTGAAAAAGCAAGAGAGTTCCAGAAAAAAAATATACTTCTGCTTTATTGACTATGCCAAAGCCTTTGACTGTGTGGACCACAACAAACTGTGGAAAATTCTTAAAGAAATGGGAATACCAGACCACCTGACCTACCTCGTGAGAAATCTGTATACAGATCAGGAAGCAACAGATAGAACAACAAACTGGTTCCAAGCAGGGAAAGGAATATGTCAAGGCTGTCTATTGTTACCCTGCTTATTTAACTTATATGCAAATTACATCATGCAAAATGTCAGGTGCATGAAGCACAAGCTGGAATCAAGATTGCCGGGACAAATATCAATAACCTCAGATATGCAGATGACACCACCCTTATGGCAGAAAGTGAAGAAGAACTAAAGAGCCTCTTGATGAAAGTGAGAGGAGAGTGAAAGTTGCCTCAAAACTCAACATTCAGAAAACTAAGATCATGGCATCTGGTCCCATCACTTCACTGGCAAATAGATGGGGAAACAATGGAAACAGTGACAGATTTTTAGTTTGGGGGGGGGGGGGGGGGCTCCAAAATCACTGCAGATGGTGACTGCAACCATGAAATTAAAAGATGTTTGCACATTGGAAGAAAAGTTATGACCAACCTAGACAGCATATTAAAAAGTAGAGACATTACTTTGTCAACAAAGGTCCATCTAGTCAAGGCTATGGTTTTTCCAGAAGTCATGTATGGATGTGAGAGTTGGACTATAAATAAAGATGAGCTCTGAAGAATTGATGCTTTTGAACCATGGTGTTGGAGAAGACCCTTGAGAGTCCCTTGGCCAACAAGGAGATCCAATGAGTCCATCTAAAAGGAAATCATTCCTGAATATTCATTGGAAGGATTGATGCTGAAGGTGAAACTCCAATACTTTGTCCACCTGATTGGAAGAACTGACTCATTTGAGAAGACCCTGATGCTGGGAAAGATTGAAGACAGAAGGAGAAGGGGACTACAGAGGATGAGATGGTTGGATGGCACCACCGACTCAATGGACATGATTTTGAGTAAAATCTGGGAGTTGGCGATGGACAGGGAGGCCTGGCATGCTGCAATCCATGGGACTGCAAAGAGTGGAACACAACTGAGCTACTGAACTGACTGATAAAACACAGGAAGAGAAAGAGTCACATCAGAGCTTTTTAAGCTGGAAACAGTATTAATATTCCCTCCTCACTTGAAAATTCTTTTTAAAGTAACTTGAAAGTGTACAAATTTACATGAGACCATGCTAGCAAATGCCTGATCTTTTTTTCAGAAACATGAAAGCACACTCCTTACCCCCAAACACACCAATGACTGATTTTAACAAAAATGCCAAATTCTAAATTTTGATTCTGCTATAAAATGTGACTTTTTGAAATATTTCTGGTACTCCAGAAAACTGCTCTGTAGTTTGCTCACTAGCTTTTGAGTTCATAAACTTTGTTGAGATGGCACCAAGACCCAGGTAGTATACCCAGAACAGTCTTTATTTTATGCCCTGAGGTTTTTGTGCAGTTTTTTTTCCTACTCTCCATTCTGGATTATTCATTAACATTAACCAACCATCTGTTATTAGTGTAAATGTGCAACATGCATTTCTTTCCTTTTTCTGTCATTAATTATATTTTTTAAAGCTTAATAGTTAGATGAAATTTTTCTCTTCCCTTTTTTTCCTTTTTCCAAATAAAGCTACTCTCACAGAACCACTAAAATACAAGAGTTCTCAAAGAACCACTATAATATTCTTGACTGTTTCTACAGGTTGGAATAGTCACTTCATTTCGGTAGCCTCATACACTGCTGAGTAGATTAGAGAGATGAGATAATGCACTAAAGATCTGAAGTGACCTGCTTTTAAATCCTCAAAAGGATAATACATAACTGAGGGCAATGAGTGGGTTGATTGATAGTCATTAGCCAAAGGGTAAGATAGTTGAACTTCACATAAAACTTCCATTAAGTTCAACACTCCTTTGATGCAGGATTATTCTATTTGCACTTAGTAATACAGTGAAATTCACTGTAGAATTCAGATTTGTCTGTACACATTCACTGTAACAAACATATATGTTTATATGTGTATAAAATATGTCATGTTTTATATGCTCTCATTGTTCATTTTATAGATTGTTTTACTTTGGAAAATAAATGTTGAAAAATCTGAAAAAAAAAAAGGAAACCATGATAGATGTTTAAAGTTATAATATCTAGAAATGTAATGTCCTTGTTTTGTTTTAATGACTATATTGGGTAAAACAACATTCTATCAGTGATATTCTAATTTTGCTTCTCTTCCAGGACTTTAAAATAACAAAAAGAGGAAAGATTCAGTCAGAATTTGGATGGTTATTTATCTGTGATGCAAAGGAGGAAATGGCTTCACTGACAATAGATGGGACTACGCTGACTATAAAAACCCTTTTATCTTTTGAAGATACTTCAAAATGTTGATTTTTAAAGAGCAAGTTGGTATTTGTGTGAAACAAACTCATTTTTCACAATCCAGTGTGCCCATCCTAAGAATGTTTCATCTCACTGTAATACTATCAGCCAGCTCAATGTAGCAACCAGAAAAAAAGGCAAATAACAGAGGCAAAAGCAAACAGAGTGGATTCTAGACACCCACAGATATGAGAAAATAGTATTCCAGGTAATAGTTGCAGATTTATTATTCTTACCTTCACTAATTTGATAAATATTTACTAAGCAACTAATATATATCAATTACTGGGATAGGAAGTGAGGCCACACAGAGGAACAAATATTTACACTGAACAAACAGTTTTAATTTACACTGAACAAACAGGTATTACCTACCTAATCCTCACACACGAAAAAACAATAAAGTGGGTACTTTTTAATCCTCATTTTACAGATGAGTAAACTGAGGGAGAAACAAATTAAGAAATATGCCCCAAAGTCAACCTGTAGTAAGCAATGCAGGCAGGAACCCAATCAGTGTCATTTATCTCCTCAGTCCATGATCTTACTACCACAATTAGGATATAAAGGGATACAGGACAGAGTAATAAATTATGGATTAAATGACCTTAAAATTATTATATATTTATATTTAAAGTAGCTTAGCCATTCAGAAATTCCTGAATTTCACTATGAAGAATTTACCTCAAAAAAACACTTGGACAGATTTACAAAATTATATATTTAACAATGAACATTTCATCTTTGTCTGAGATAATGAAGAACTGGAAATAATCCTCTATTGGTTGATTTGCTTTTAGCTGCAAGTAATAGAATTATTGACTAATATGACTTAAACAATAGGAATTTTCTCAGCTTATAAGAATGACTGGGGGGAAAAAAGGTTCTACAGTTAGTTCGGAAGCTCAGGAATGTCAAGGATCTTAATCTTCATACCCTATTATCCTTGGCATAATTTTGTTCTTAGGCTTCATTCCTCATGGTCACAAGAAAGCTTCTGCAACTCCAGGCATCACACCTCACACAATCACATCCGAAGTCAGAAGAGGGCAGTTTCTCCAAGCATGTCAATTTCTTACCTAGTAGGAAAACCAGGTTTGGGTTTCACGCCCTATGCTTTAGCTGTAAGGAATACCAAAAAAGTGAGTAACTGGCATTGCAGCCCCTATTAAGGGAAGCATGAAGGAAGAAAGGGGGAAGCTGTTGTATTGGAAATCGATTGGGCCTACTAGAAGTTTCAGTGTCTAAAAACAGAATGTCCATATAGCATAATCTTGTGCTGCTACTATAACTATAAATGACAATATAGGTAAGGAGTCGATTACATGAAGAAAAAAATTAAGGTTTAAGAAATCTGATGTACAAAAGATATACACCAAAATCCTAGCAATAGTTCTTTCTTTGTGATAAGAGAGGTATTTTTACTTTTTTCGTATTTTTACAAAATATTAACTTAAATTGCTTTCATAATAAAAAACTCCAGTTTTGAAAGGCAATATAATTCAAAGAGAAAAAATATTTCCTATCATAATATTAATGTTCTTTGGCTCAGCTTGGAAGCAAAGAGTTGAACAGTTGAAAAATGAACAAGACATTTGAATCAAATTTTGTTTTGCATTACTGTCATGAATAAATGAAAGAAAGACAAAAGAGAAATCAAGCAAATGGTCACTGGAGAATTTTAAATCTGGAAAAATAAAATGTTTTGCTAAGAGATGATGATACAACTAAAAGATTTAAAGAAAGAACTGTTGCAACTAATATATTAGAAGCATTGCTCTATGGATTTCTTCTCTCATGAGAATGTCTTTTACTCTTGCCAAGATAAGCTTTTATGCAAAAATTAAAATAGTTTAAGAGAAGAAGGAAAATACTCTTATTTGGGGGAAAGTAATTCACAGTTTTAACAGCATGATGATATAGGCCAATATTTTAGTGTTTAGTTAAAACAAATGGCTAACAGTTTTCTTGGTTTTTCATTGAACATTTTAAATCATTTTAATTACATAACTTCTGCATAAATACTTCCCACTGCACAAACTTCAAATACCACTGAAGAATAAAAGTAGATAATAAAATTCTTATTTCATTGCCCCAACAATACTTGGCTTGTCTCCCTTCAAAGAAACAACCACTGTTAAATTTAGGATTTCTCTCTTCATATATTTTCTATATATTCAGTTTTTTTTATCTTAATTAAATCATACTGTACACACTGTTATACCATGTGCTTTTTATAACATAAAACTATGTCTCATATATCCCTATATGTCATTATATAGAGATCTCTCTCATTTTTTCAGGAGCTATCAAATCTATTTAAACATTCTTCCTTTGATGGATATTTAGATTATCCTCAGTATTTTGCTTGTATAAAAAATGCTGCAATGAACATCTTACATATCAAGTTTTGTTCACATCAAAGGATAGTTTAGTAGAGCAAGGTTTTAGAAGTGAAATTACTAACTTTAAATATACTTTTAACATTTTGATAGAAGTGACACAACGCCTTCCAAAACTGTTGTACCGATTTCACACTCCATCCACCAGAGTTTGAATATGCTCGTTGTTTCCATCTTCAGCAGCACTGAACATCAACAGATGTGGGTAATATCACTGTATTTAATTCATATTGTGAGTACTAATGCTGCTGCTGCTAAGTTGCTTCAGTTGTGTCCAACCCTGTGCGACCCCATAGACAGCAGCCCACCAGGCTCCTCTGTCCATGGGATTCTCCAGGCAAGAATACTAGAGTGGGTTGCCATTTCCTTCTCCAATGCATGAGAATGAAAAGTGAAAGTGAAGTCGCTCAGTCAAGTCTGACTCTTCATGACCCCATGGACTATAGCCTACTAGGCTCCTCCGTCCAGGGGATTTTCCAGGCAAGAGACTGGAGTCGGTTGTATTTCCTTCTCCAGTGAGTACTAATAGTGAGGTTTAACTTTCTATCATGTGTTTACCCAAATAAACATTTATACTAATAGCAGTGGCCTAGATTTAAATTGGGCTATTATTTCATGAGAACATGATGGGTTGATCACATGATGTATTAGCCATAATCATCTTTATAGAGATATGTACTCTATATGTACTCTCAAGTACTTCATATTTTTATAATTATAAAATTTATATATATAATATATAAAATGTTGCATATATATGTATATATATGAATCAGACATGACTTAGCAACTAAACAACAAATATATATATATATATACACACACATTAATTGTAGTAGATTTTTATAAGCAGAAACATACAAAGAATGAAGCATGCATAATCTATAATTTTAACACCTTTAGATACTCAGTAACCTTTTAATATTCTTCTATATACAATTATATATGTATATAATATGTATGTGTGTTAGTTGCTCAGTAGCGTCCAACTCTTTGTGACCCCATGGACTGTAACCTGCCAGGCTCCTCTGTCCATGGAATTCTCCAGGCAAGAACACTGGAGTGGGTAGCCATTCCCTTTTCCAGGGGATTATCCTGACCCAGAGATCGAATCGGGGTTTCCTGCATTGCAGGCAGATTCTTTATCATCTGAACCACCAGAGAAGTCCATATGGTATGCATATGTAATATATAATATAGCTTCATTATACATATATCTATTAGAAGATATTTCTTTTTATGTGTGTTTGTTTCTTTTTTTAATTTTGGCTGTGTCACAGGGTATATGGGATCTTAGATCCCCTACTAGGGATTGAATTCATGATCCCTGCAGTGTGAGCATGGGATTTTAATGACTGGACTGCCAGAAAAGTCTCAAGACATTTGTTGTTAAAACTGAGATTTATAAAAAACAAAAAACTGAGATCATACTGTACACATTATTTCATATCCTTTGTCTCATAACAGTATTTTAAAAATACTATATTATGCTTTTACACTAATTGGTCTTCAAATTATGGCTGCCATATTGCTATGTCACAAACTTATTAGCCAGACTTTATTTTGCATTGAACTTACAAGCTATTCAATTTTTTTTTTTAATGAGATTTCTCTAAAAATTCTTGCAGGTAAAATTTTATATACCTCTCTCTTTCCTTCATATAAATTATTATAAGTAAAATTATTGGCTGAAAGAATATAAATATATTTAAATCTTGGGATTTCTACTTATATTTTAAACTATGCATATGTGTGTGTAAATTTTAATAATTTATACTCCCACTAGTGATCTTTGAGGTTGCTCACATTTCTATAAGCTTCCAACAATAGGTATGAAATAGTTTTTAATTTTTCACACTTTAATAGATTAAAATATTACATTGCTTAATTAGAATTCCTATAATCACAACTTATATTGAGCATTTTATCATATGTGTTTGAGTTTAACTATTTCTATTTATTCTTCATTGAGTTTCCTAGATATATTTTCTGTTTTTCAGTTCAGTTGTTTACTTTTTCATATTGAATCTTAAAAACTCTTTATAAAGTTATTAACATTCATTTCTGGATTTTTTTTAATCATTTACTTCTTTAATACATCTGCCATATAAATAAGGTATAGAGTCTATTTAAGCAAAACTATGTGACAATATAAATGGAAAACAAATATTGAAAACAATTGCCCTAAGTTTAGAAATCTTGAAATATACAGGGGCAATGTTCATGCTTCTAATATGCATTCTTATTGTGATATTTTCAAATAACCATCAATAGCCAAAATTATATGAAATTCCTTTTTGAGTGTTCTAGAATCAAACTGTATTAGTAGCCTCTTCAAGAAACTGTTCAGTATCTTAATGAAATACACAATACTTTCAACACTAATGCTTAAGTTTTGAAGTAAGATAAAGGAAATTCAAATTATGCTTTGTGAACTTTAGTAAGATATTTCTTTGTGCTTCCTTTTCATCACTTCTAGTAATACAGATGAATAATACTAGCTATCTTACAGGGTTTTTAAAAAATAATTGAACTGCATAATTTAATTGTGTAAAGCACTCAGAATTATGCTAAGTTGGAACAAAATTGTTATTCTATACATCATAATAATAATTATTCTAGAGTTATTTTTATTACTTAACAAAGAAAATCCTGTGCCATTAAATTGACAGTAAACAAAAAGTAATTTTATATAAAGTCTATCTCTTTTGGTCAGTTTATGTCTGATGAAAGCCTGCAATATACTGGTCTTTTGAGAAAGCATGAGTATCTTTGAAGTACTGATGACTCAGATTGATGTGTTCCTTCCTCTTTGGTGTTCATTCTTACCCCTTGAACAATTCAAACAGAAAAGACATGGCCTAAGGGCATTCTTTTCCACAATGTCGCTTCCACAGATTTGACCCAGACCATGCATATGGCTCCCAATAGGCGGATTTTATTTAAATGAATAAGACTGTTCAATGTTTAATTCATGACACAAGAATCTAAATGCACACTTGATAGAGAGGGTAGATGAAAATGCAACTCAACGGGGATCATAGTTTTATAAACTGCAGGCTGCTCCTTATAAAGTAGATATATAAAATATGAAAATGCATAATTCAGTAAACATTCTTATATTTAGAACTATATGCAAATACCAAAGAGAGATGGACTGCCTCTAAATTTCTATCACTGCTTTGTGACCTTCATTTCTGCTCATTACTGACAAGGTTTCACGCACAATTTAAAAGCCTGTTTTTACAGAAAAAGAGGATAGATGGAAACACTGTGTTTGAACATCCCAAGAATCTGCCAGCCTACCTGGACCTTATTCAAGTGCTCTGCTCCCCCAGTCCCTTGCATGGTAAAAGGTGGTTAGCTCTAAGAGAGGAAAGAAAACATAACATGAAAGTCTTCTCAAAAAAACACATCTGAGAAAGCTCAAAAGAGGGAATAATAGAAAACAGCCAACACTTGGCCTCTTGGGGTTGATAACGCTGTTTTTCTTTCCTCTCCCTCCTACTGCCTGCCTGTTGGTCTCTTCACTACTTCTTGGCACATCGAGGAGAGGGGGAATGTGTGTAGGGTCAGACGGGGAAAGGAAAAGATCATCAGTCAATTTTGCATCATGTTAGTGGTTCTAGAGAATGGTTGGGTTGAAGCAGAAGAAGGCAATGAGGATTAAGGGTTATCTGTGACTTTCAAAGACCTTTGTTCCTTTAATTTTATGGATACTCAGCAGTGGGCTGCAGGTTCACGCCTCCTTACTCATGCACATGAAGAAAATGAATTTAGTAAGCATTTCCATACAGTCCAGTACTCACAGCTCTGAATGTTAAGAGTAATGTATAGGAATGCTATTGCCTTCTTAAAAAAAAATAAAAAAGAAGAAAAGAAAAAGAGCAATTTAGGTCAGACAAAATTAAAGGAAGCCAAAATCCAGCTGTTTTTAGGATTTATCCAATATTAGTAACATTGTGGTTTTTCAGTAACAATATAAAACTGTACTTTCAGAGGTGTTTTTCCATTTAATTCTCTAACTCCTAAATGTTTGCTATTTTTTCCATATGTTTCTAGTTGTATACATTGAATATTTTTAAAACATCATTTTGCAAAACTTATTTGATGTTCAATAAGATTTTTTTGGTTATTATTAGAAAGCAGAAATTATGATTTGTAAAGGGAAATTTTACAAGTTTAAAAAGATTGCTTTTGAGGTTTTGCTTCACTTCATTTCCTTTGATGTCTTTTAGAAAGAAAAATGTATTCCTCCATCAGATACTAAAAAGAGCCTTCATGCTGAAAATATAACAACGGAACAGGAGACAAGGTTGGGAGGTGAGGGCTCTGCAGTCTTTATGAACTGCTACTGTTCAAAATCAACCCACCCAGCTCCGTGCAAGTACAGCTTCTGCAATGAAAGATGTTTAAATAGTGATAATGGATTGCAAATAAAGGGACTCTTATCTTTGGAATTTTGAAGTAGACACCAGGAAGCAGTCCAAATTTAGTTTAAGGCTTACCCCTAAAGCTGAACTTTCATCTTTTATATGTCAGTCTGTGCTTATGTGCTTTGGGACTACATAATGTAGCTTTAGAAGCCTGGCTAATGACATTAAAAAAAAATAAAACTTACAGCAATTTACATAAAATCCAGAAATTTGAGATAAGATTATTTTTTTGTACTTTTCCCAGGAGCACAGTGTCAAATGAATGAGGGAAAGATGTGACAATAGCACAAGAGTGTGTCACACACAGCAGAATAATAAATCTTACTCCATTATTCATTCCTTCATCTTATTCGACATTCATTCATTTATTCATTTGTTCACCTATTATTCTACTACCAGTAGTTGCTCGTCAAATTGGGAAAGATAAAGTAATTATGATCACAGATAAGGCTCATTTTAAAGTATTTCATGTACTTCCTCTCTCTAATTAATCCAAAGGCAGCTGATAAAGAGAAGATTAAATGGCTTCAGAAATGGTAAGTGAGATTCTAACCTGGAGCAAAAGAACAGTTTCTTTCAATAGGCTCAGGTTTTTCTCTCAACTCTTAACTGGTGGCCCCTGAACCAATTCTTTGATCTCTGATATACTGGGTCACCTCTCCATCAAAAAAGCACCTTCTTATGCACCACTTTTCACATTCAGATATTGTTAGTGCAGCTCAACTATCAGCTTGGAATCCCAGGATGCATCATCCCAGTGAGACTCTGGCCAGTTGGTTCTGGACACCCTCCTCCAGGTTTCTAGAGGCTCTGTCCTGGTCTGCTAAGGCCCTCTCTGTTCCAGGCTCCACTCAGCTCAACCTGGGGACTCGGCTTCCCTTCCTCAAAACAGTTTCCCTGTATCAAGCGTTCCTGATGCCCTCAATGCTCTGCTCTCACTCCTTCATGGGCAAAACTTCCCAAGCACCTAAACAGCGGCAAGGACGTACAACACTCCTTCCTGCCAATGCCTTCACCTTTCAAACAGCGTTATTTTTTATATCTGAAATGCCTTCTCATGTCCATTTCCCTTAGCACCATGTTTATTTCCTTCTAAATTTTCTGAACCCTCACTTAAAATTGTACTTATTTTGTTCTTTTCGTCTAACTAGACTTTGAGTCTTGTGAAAAGTAGAAACATACTGATCATGGTTATTGTCAGATATTCTGGGTTTTGTGTAATAACTGGCATACGGTAACTACTAATATATATGTGCTGAATAAATTCACTCGTTCATCCATCTATTCATCCATCCATCCATTTATCCATACATCCATCCAATATTTTTTGAGCCAGAGCTCTGCGAGGAAATGGGGACGCTATGACAGACCCAGGGGAAAAGAATTAGGGCCAAGAGGACCTTTCGATGCCCTTCAAGTCACACTTCGCTGGCAGCTGCTTACAGCACTTGTGCAGGCCAGTCCTGGACAAAGGTTAGAGGGGTGAAGCATGAGTAAGGACAGAGCTCACAAATCATTGGTTCCTGACACTTCCAACAACTCTGAAAGTATCTGGAAATGTTACCTTCAACTTCAAGGCTCCAGGACTCACCCTGCCAGGAAGTCTTTTGACATTCTAACCCCATACCTTCCTCCCCCACCACTGACTCGAGGCAATTGGCAGATCTCAGGATTGATGGTCTAGGAATTGAAGAGAAAGTCCCTAGGTCAGGGTCCTAAGGCTCTGGAATTCCCTCCCTCCCATGCTCTGCTTTCTTCTACGCAAGGCATCGTGCCAAAAGAACCCTTCTTATCCCTAGAGTCTGCAAGTGATATATAAATATCCAAAACTTCTGAACCTCTCTTTCTCTCATTTAGCAACAGGGCCTTAATTGTTTTGATAGTGAATCTGTCTTATCTAAAAAAGTTAGGTGCATATTTGAATCTGAGAATTATATAGAAAAAAGGAAACTGTGAAAAACGAGGTTAAATTAACTAAAATCTTCTAATGCTATGTTAATTACACATCCCAGTAACTTTCAGATTATGTACGAGACTAGCAAGAGATTTGACAAAACGAACAAAGAAGAAATGTGGTAGTTTCTCCTGATAGTACAAATATATTTTTGTTGTTTAGTTGCTAAGTCATGTCTGACTCTTTGCGACCCCATGGACTGTAGCCTGTCAGGCTCCTCTGTCCATGGAATTTTACAGGCAAGAATACTGGAGCGGGTTGCCATTTTCTTCTCCAGGGCATATTCTTGGCCCAGGGGTTGAAACTGCATCTGCTTTTCAGCTTTATAAAATATTATATAGTTGTTTGTGACAACTAATTTTCATATTACATTTTTGTAGGTCTCTATGTTAAAGAACCTGCCTGCAATGTGGGAGAGCTGGGTTTGGGTTGCAAAGAGTTGGACACGACTGAGTGACTAACATTTTCACTTCATAATTCTTATTTTAGAGATATAGTGGGAGAAACAAATCTGTTTCAAAGAATCTGAAGAAAATTAGTGAATATAAAATTGGTAAATGAAGGTTAAGAGCTCAAAAATCCTTAAGGGCTGGTTCAACTATTCTGTAAATATTTTAAGATCTATTTTACAACATTCATGATATAAGAGAGCTGACATAACTCCACATTTGTTTTTGCCTAAGAAGAGAATGGTTAGACATACCATTTGCAGGAAAAAAAAAAAAAAGGAGGTTAATCGATAGATTTCAATCCCTTGCTGTTTTAAGTCACTTCAGTCATGTTTGACTCTGCGATACTATGGACTGTAGCCTGCCAGGCTCCCCTGTCCATGGGATTCTCCAGGCAAGAATACTAGCGTGAGTAGTCTATCCCTTCTCCAGGGGATCTTCTCAACCCAGGGATTGAACACGCATCTCTTATGCCCCCTGCATTAGCAGGCTGGTTCTTTACCACTAGCACCACTTGGGAAGCCCCTCAATCTCTTAAACCAGTGCTTACAGATGGAGTTTTGACTCCCATGTTGTTTCCAAGTTATTTCAAGTACTGCTATACAATTTTCAAAGATCATAAAAAACAATTAAATATATAATATAAAAATTGAAAAAAAAATTGGTATACAATTATTCAAAATTCAACATGTATCTCTTTAGTCCTTTTTTATGTATTATGTCAAGATGTTGTTTTTGCTCTCCAAGAGTCTCTGTTTCCCCCAGTCCTGTGGGAGTTCTATAATAAAATCCCGCTGTTCTTCCAATTCAGATTCCCTGGGGATTCCCAGTCCCTTTGCTGGATCCCCAGGTTGGGATGACTGATGTGGGGCCTAGAATCTTTGCAACAGTGTGAGAACTTGTTTGGTATTATTGTTCATCAGTTTGTGGGTCGCCACAGAAAAGCTATGACAAACCAAGATAGTGTATTAAAAAGCAGAGACATCACTGTGCTGACAAAGGTCTATATAGTCAAAGCTATGGTTATTCCAGTAGTCATGTACAGATATGAGAGCTGAACCATAAAGAAGGCTGAATGACAAAGAATTGATGCTTTTGAATAGTGGTGCTGGAGAAAACACTTGAGAGTCCCTTGGACAGCAAAGAAATCAAACCAGGCAATCCTAAAGGAAATCAACACTGAATATTCATCAGAAGGACTGATGCTGAAGCTGAACCTCTAGTACTCTGGCCACCTGATGTGAAGAGCTGATTCACTGGAATAGATTGTGATTCTGGGAAAGATTGAGGGCAGGAAGAAAAGGTGGTGGCAGAGGATGAGATGGTTAGATGCTTAGCATCACCAACTCAATGGACTTGAGTTTAAGCAAACTCTGGGTGATAGTGAAGGACAGGGAAGCCTGGCATGCTACAGTCCATGGGGTTGAAAATAGTTGGACATGACATAGTGACCAAACAGCAACAACAATATATTATCTAACCTATATACTTCAATAAAATTTACTTTTAAAAATGTGTACTACACATATTCAGTATAAAATATATGAATCAAACTAAAATAAAAGACTATATAGAAAGTTCAGGTAAAAGAAAATCCTATGGTTATTAAACTTAAAACAATCTTTTGATTGAAAACCAAAGCAAAATGAAATCAGCAACTGAATTACCACTGCCTAATAACAAAGACTCTACATATGGACATCACCAGATGGTCAACACTGAAATCAGATTGATTATATTCTTTGCAGCCAAAGATGGAGAAGCTCTATACAGCCAGCAAAAACAAGACCAGGAGCTGATTGAGGCTCAGACCATGAACTCCTTAGTGCCAAATTCAGACTTAAATTGAAGAAAGTAGGGAAAACCACTAGACCATTCAGGTATGACCTAAATCAAATCCTTTATGATTATACAGTGGAAGTGAGAAATAGATTTAAGGGACTAGATCTGATAGACAGAGTGCCTGAAGAACTATGGACAGTGGTTTGTTACAATGTACAGGAGACAGGGATCGATACCATCCCCAAGAAAAAGAAATGCAAAAAATCAAAATGGCTGTCTGAGGAGGCCTTACAAATAGTTGTGAAAAGAAGAGAAGCGAAAAGCACAGGAGAAAAGGAACGATATTCCCATTTGAAAGCTGAGTTCCAAAGAATAGCAAGGAGAGATAAGAAGGCCTTCCTCAGTGATCAATGCAAAGAAATAGAGGAGAACAACAGAATGGGAAAGACTAGAGATCCCTTCAGGAAAATGAGAGATACCAAGGGAACATTTCACGCAAAAATGGGCTCAATAAAGGACAGAAATGGTATGGACCTAACAGAAGCAGAAGATATAAGAAGAGGTGGCAAAAATACACAGAACTGTACCAAAAAGATCTTCACGACCCAGATAATCACAATGGTATGATCACTCACCTAGAGCCAGACATCCTGGACTGCGAAGTCAAGTGGGCCTTAGAAAACATCAATACGAACAAAGCTAGTGGAGGTAATGGAATTCCAGTTGAGCTATTTCAAATCCTGAAAGATGATGCTGTGAAAGTGCTGCACTCTATATGCAAGCAAATTTGGAAAAC